ATTGGTGCTGGACTGGGTGCGAATGGAGCACCGCTCACAGATGTTGCTTCCGTGGTCGCATCTCTTCGTGGAGACGGAGGAATGGCTCCTATTGCTAGCGCTCCGGCGTCCAGTCAGGTTCTTTTCTTCACGACTCCTCATTCACATTTGCCTGTAGTTAAAGATAGTCAGATTTGGTGATGCTTAATAATATTGCAGTTCTCGGCGTTTGGAATGGGAACTGGTGGGCTGTCCAGCAATGCTGCTTTCCAGTCGTCTTACGCGTCGCATATTGCTAATGGTCAGAGCCTTGGAGGATTAGGTGAGCCGACCGACCCGATTCATTGATTTCAGGCAAAAATACTCACGAAGTACGCGAAAATGAATCTTTTTTCAGGTGGATCTTTCTCATCTCTGGGTGCATTCGACGCAAGAAGAGGTTAGTTTGTCCCATCGCTTCCAATTGTTATGTTGATCAAATTCCTATTTTACAGATGATTCCTTTATTGGCGCCGACTCACGTAGAGGTGAGACAAAACTAGCAGGTGTGGTTGTGCTTGTGAACGTGTAAATTTTAAGAGCAGTCCTTCCTTGTTAAAGACACACTGTACTTCGGAGGTGCATGCTTTCTGTGCGCGAGAAAGGCAGATTTTCAGCCGTAAATGTGCACTTGCGCCATCCGAAAGAGTGCAACGTGAGGACAGAGCCATGATAGGTTGCTCCTTGTGCCTGCGCTCGCATTTCGGTGCGCGACACGTACGACACATTTACGCCAGACAGCTACGATTGGGCATATGACTGGCCGTATGGCGCTGTTTCGTCCTGTCGCGTACCTAGTGGGGGCGGAGACAAGAGGAACACCAAACGGTCACAAGTTCTAGACTTCATTGACGCGCATTTTTCTGAACGGCGAGACTGCTCTATATACTGCAAAACCTCCTCTCGGGCATGGGAAGGCCAGGTAACCGTAAAGTGCGTCCTTAGCTGCGTCGCGACGTGCGTTTGTCGTTTTACGTGCTTTCATTAGCAGTAATGTTTCAGATGATCAGTTTGGCATGAACTACAGCGTCAGCCGTGTTGTTATTATTAGAAATGTAAGATTGTCAATTTCATTGTGAGAAGCAGTTGTGAATTATTCCTGGAGTACGTTACGTTTTCAGCTACCACCGGATTACACATGGCAAATCGTACGTGATCGAGTCCAACAATTCGGAGATGCAGAGTCTGTTGAGATGATTGCACCTGGAGTTGCTCGTATTCGCTTCGCTCTCATCCAGGTTCGATAATGATACAAAATAGCGCAGTATGGCAGCGGAGGGGCATTTTGCTTTTTTCTGCTTCCCATCGACGTGTCGAGCAAACAAGTGAAGACCTGTGAACCTGATCTTGTGAGGTCACGAGTTGCTGTGTTGATGGCCTACCTGTCAACTCTTGTACATTCATGATGAAATTCATTGAACTTACAGACGATAACAGGTTTCATCACGGTGGCTCAACAAGCTTGCTCCAGCTTCACAAGAGTTCACAGGTTTCACCAGAGTAAGACT